ATATATATATATATATATATATATATATATATATATATGTATATTATATATAAATATATAGTATTGAACAAAGAGGTATCTTGGCTCCTCAGGGTGTTGGTTTAGAGTAGGATTGTTGTGTTCAATTAAGATGGATTCCTCGATTTTTCGTCTGTTTATGTTTGGTTCTTTGTTTAAAATGACTGTGTTTTTAATAGATAATGTTGCGTCAGCGAGGTCACGTGACTAGTGTCACGCCCCCTGCTTTCTGGACATATCTTGTACCTTCGTGAATTGTCGGGAGATTACTAAATATAGGGTAGTCTGGTATATATAAGAGGGTGACAACGTGACGGAAGAATAATATGTGTGTAGACAGTGAGTATGATCTGCAGTGAGAAAGTATTGTTGAAGTTAACGTTCGTTATAGTGTTTGTTTTAGCGCGAATGTTGAAGTTAAGTGTATCGTAAAGTTATATTCAGAAAGAATAAACCAGTTTTATTAAGTAAGGACTTGTGTCGCTAAAGTTTCGTCAGAACGAAGTTACGGAAAGTTAATTAACAAACGGAGACGTAACAAATTGGTGTCAGAGAGTGGGGCAGAAAAAAAAATGGAAACGAGAAACGGCAAATCAAACTACAGCCTAGCAGACTTGATGGCAGCAATACACGAACAGCAAAAGAAACAAGAAGAACGAGAAGAGAAATTACAACAGTTGTTGGAGGAAAAAGAAAAGAAACAAGAAGAGAGATAACAGCATTTGCAAGAAAACTTGCAACAGTGGCAGCTCGAACAGCAAAATAAACAAGAAGAGAGATTACAGCAGTTGTTGGAGGAAAAAGAAAAGAAACTGCCACTGTTGCAGGTTTTCTTGCCACTGCTGTTGTCTCTCTTCTTGCTCGAACAACAAAATAAACAAGAGAGATTACAGCAGTGGTTGGAGGAGAAAGAAAATAAACAAAATAAAAATTACAGCAGTGGCAACTGGAACAAGAAAGGAAACAGGAAGAAAGTATCCAACAGTTGCAGGAAAGTCAGCAGCAACGTTTGTAAAAGAGCGACTGTTGAAAATAACTGTATCGGTAAAGTTATATTCAGAAAGAATAAACCAGTTTTATTAAGTAAGGACTTGTGTCGCTAAAGTTTCGTCAGAACGAAGTTACGGAAAATCAATTAACAAACGTAGACGTAACAGTATATTGGTATATAAAAAATCGTATTTATAAATATCTGAAACATATTTTGGGAAGCATTGCCTGTAATTCCTTAACTATTTGCAAAACTCAGAAATTACAAAATTAAGTTTATACATTGTTTAAAACTGGTTTTTACAGGTTAATCATTGGTCTCTTATAATTACAAGACAGTATTACTAGTTTTTACTTTGGCGTTGGTGACCTTAAGAAGATTCTTGTCAAAAGTGGAATATAGTTATTTTTAAAACTTATGCCTTATCTAAATAATTCATATTCTGATGAACTGATGACGTTGATTATAGTTCGTTGTTTGTTTGTTATTAAACACAAAACGCTATATGTGCTCTGCCCATCGCGGGTATGGAACCCCATTTTTCACGTCATAAGACCTAATATTTAACTCTGAGCCACCGATAGTTTAACTATCACTACCTTTAAAAATGTAATGTTTGAAATTTTACTGACTGCAAAAGAATTCATGAACTTACTGACTTTAAGAAAATAAATGCAAAACTGAAATACTGTTTTAGCACGTTATTCTATATTTAGAAACAGATATAATTTGAAATTTAACATAATTTCTGCGACAAGATAAACTTAATTATTTCAAGTAAAGAAAGGCCTGATATTTTATATTTTAATTTTTTTTTAGGATTCCCATCAACATTACTTAAAGAAGTATATTGAAAATCTGTTAAATAAAATGCATCCAATTTATTAAAATTATTGTACACTAAGGAAAAGAAATAAATAATCTTTAGAAAATAAGTGCAGTACATACCTTATCAGAAAGTGTCTGGTGTTTCTTAAGGTTTTGTAATTAGTGCTGTTTTACGCAGCTGCAACAAACATAATATTTTCAAGATGGAAATACTTAAAAGCATTAGTTATCAGTCGAGTAACTGATTAAAAGTCAAGTGTTAAGAATCTCAAGGATATTCACATGTACAACGTACATTATTTTGCTACGTGAAAGCACACGAGTTCATTAGAAACAGGTTTTGTTTTCTCAAGGTTGATGAGTTAGATATAATCTACTTGTAATATTATCTTCCACGGGATAGCTCAACATGTGGCTATCCTGCTATCTAGTGATATTAGCAGTGGAGTTGTAAATTATAAAGAGGTTCATACATTTCAATCACACGTGTTAAGAAATGGTAATATCCTCTAGGACATTCTTCATGAAATAGGTCAACATCATAGTAAAAACTCAGTAGCAATATTAGGGCCAATGATCAAAAATTTATTGCCTCGGTAAACGTAATATAACATTCAGAAAAAAAACATTCATTTATGTGAACACTGGTATAATATTAATTTTTGTGAGAAATGGTGTGTATCTGTAGAAACATCTCAACAAATGAATATAAAACGGAGGGTGAAGAGTATTGAAGGAAGTCATGTTGAGGTGATAGTAACTTTCCATTCCTTGTGAAAGACTTTTGTAAAAACTACTTTGTCCACATTATATAATACATTGTACTGAATTCTGCAAGTGTTTCAATCTCTTCTCATTGTTTTACATTCATGATGGTAGTAATACATGTGAAAGAAAGATGCTTTAAATTCATGATTTTAGTAATAGATGCGGAAAAAAATGCTTTACCATCATGATTGTATTAATAAATGTGAAAGAAATATGTTTTATATTCATGATTATGGTAATAGATGTGAAAGAAAGATACTTTACATTGATAGTTGTAGAAACAGATGTGAGGGAAAGATAATTTAAATTTGTGATTGTAGTAACATATGTGAAAAAAAAAGCTTTATATTCATCATTACAGTAGCAAATCTGAAGGAAAGAAGTGTTACATTCGTAATTGTAATAAAAATGAAAAGGAAAGATGTTTTACATTTATGACTGTAGTAACAGGTGTGAAAATTAAACTTTAAATTCATGACTGTAGCAACAGATGTAAAGAAAAAACGCGACATTAATTTCCTGACGACCTAATATATATATTTTTATTCTAGTATATACCCACGATTTTTCTAAATTTTCGTCATTTTCTGCACGAACTCATAACATTCTTGTATAAAATACGTCGAAAGGTCGTAAAAGCTACATATTGCAACAGCTAAATACTTGTATCACTTTGGCCGTATCGAAGTCACGTGACTAGTATCACGCCATGTCATTCTCAAACTCTTACGTCTTTTCCTTAAATCTCGTGATCTTTCTAGATATAGTGTAGTCTTGTATATATATAAGACCGGCCACGAAGCGACGGAAAGGTAATGAGTAATTGAATGTATGCGGATAAAATATTGTTGGCCACGTGAGACGTGAGTTATAGCGTTTGTTATAGAGCGACTGTTGAAATTAAGTGTATCGTAAAGTTGTATTCGGAAAGAATAAACCAGTTTTATTTAAGAAAGGACTTGTGTCGCTACAGTTTCGTCGGAACGAATTTACGGAAAATTAACTAACGAACAGAGACGTAACAATACATTTAACTTGTTTCGAATACATATATTATTTTAAAAGCAAGTGGAGTGCGCGTTGTTCGTTTATTGTTGAATTTATCGCCAACAAGTCACATACACCTACTGTAAAAGAATCCTTAGCCCAACACAACCATATATTTACATTACTATAAATACTACTAAAAAGTAAGTTTCAGACAACATGTTATGCTATGGTTGAAGTTTCAGTTCTTTCATTTCTTACACCTCCCTTATGTTTTGCTAACGATATTCTAAATTACGTTTTGTTTGTCTAATATAAACACTTCCACATTTATATTCAACTTTATAAATTCCAGCTTTTTCCATTAACTGTCTATTATCTTTATTGTTAACCAAACTTGTTTTATCTTATTTATCAGTTTAAATATAGAGTACAATATCTGTCGTTTTTTAGATACTTTAAATAAACTAGAAGTTAAACCTGGAACATATGGCAACACTAAACATTCCTTTTTAATTTTGTAGTAATTATGTTTTAAGATAATACTTTAATCCATTACCATATTAGTTAATTTCTTAACTGCTCTATCTACAATAGTTGGATTAAATCCTCTTTCAATTGCTATATATTTCGTGTACAAAAAACATCATATAAAATATTATGGGGAAAGAAAACGTTGACATTGGCTCAACCTTAGGGTATTAGAGCAACTAATAATTTCAAAAAAATCATGAGTTATTAAATAAAGACGAAGGTCCGGTAAATATCCATTTAAGAATATGACAGGACCTCCTCCGAGATGTATGCAGAAATGTAAACTTACACACAGGTCACATCACCTATCTAAGAATGAATAAATATGACACTTTTGTCGTGTATGTTTACTCCTGATGATGACGTGGTAAACATTGAAATGTGTAGAAATAGGCTATGGTTGCATTATACCCTTTGTAAGGCCTACGGAAAAAATGTTTTTGTTTTCACTCGCCCTATAAAAAAAAGATTTCGACCTTAAAAGTTTTACACATTTTCTGTTTTAAAGGTAATCCAACATTATCGATCAGCGTTATTTTCCCCTTGTTATTCGCGTGAGCTAGTTTCGTATTAAACTCTTCCATAATACGTAGCTTTGATGGGAACTAACTTAAATTATATCAAAACATCTTAATTAAGAGTTTAGAATTGTGTAGTTCGGACCATACTGTGTTTCTTCTATTTCTTTACTTAATGTATAATAATTTTAAAATTGTTGTGTTTTTCATCATGGGCGGCCGCAGGAAGTGGCGGGGGGGGGGGTTTTGGTTGCAGGTTACCACTT